GGCAGACCTCTCCTGACCCGCCCGCTGCTCCCCTCAGCAGTGTGTTTCGTCGATCTGCTCCCCAATCTGTCTGTGGTGAATCCTCTCACCCTACGCATCTTTGGCCTGTACCTCAGTTCTGTATGAATAAATAAATACATCTTAAAAAAAAGTTATTATAAATTACAAATGAATACAGCAAAGAAGCAAGCCATGTCAACATACAAAAGCCCATAACCTAATCTACAATGAGCAAGAAACTAAAGAAATTAAGAAAATAACTCTATTTACAATTGCTTTGAAAAGAATTAAATACCTAGGAGTCAACTCAACACAGATGGCTAAGGGCCAATAACAATAAAAACTAAAAGATATTACTAAAGGACTCAGTGACATAAGGAGATGGAGGGACATCCCAAACTCAGAAAAATAAATAAATAAATAAAAGGCTAAACTGCCTGAAAATGATGATCAAATTTAGTGTAATCGCCATCAAAATCCAGCAATATTTTTCAAAGAAAATGAGCAAATATATTGAATTTATACGGAATCAGAAAAGGACTTGAATTGCCAAAGCAATCCAGAAAAAATAAAGGAGAGAAATGGAGATATCATGCTACCTGATTTCAAAGTTTACTAGAAAGCAACGGTATGAAAAACAATATACAATAGTACTGGCACAAAAAATAGATACATGGATCAATGGAACAGTTTCAAAAACCCAGAAATAATATGTCATACGTTCATCATCTAATCTATACAAAACATCATTAACCATAAAATGGGGAAAAGATAATTTCCTTAATAAATGTTGCTGGGAAAATTGGAAAGCCATATGTAAAAGAATGAAGCTGGGGCCCTCCCTGGTGGCGCAGTGGGTAAATGCAGCACTAAGAAGCTACAGCCACTTCAGCATGAGTTCTATCCTGGCCCTGGAGGTGGGTGACCCATATGGGGCGGCAGACCTCACCTGACCGGCCCGCTGCTCCTCTTAGCAGTGTACTTATCTATCTGCCTGTTCTGCTCCCCATTCTGTCTCTGGTGAATCCTCTCACCACCCCCTGCACCCCTGGCCTGTACCCCAGTTCTGTATGAATAAATAAATAAATCTTAAAAAAAAAAATGAGGCCCTCCCTGGTGGCGCAGCAGGTTAAAGCACAGCACTGAGAATCTAAAGCCGCTTCCGCATGAGTTCGAATCCCGCCTGCCCCGGAGGTGACCACATGGCGTGGCAGACCTCTCCTGGCCCGCCCGCTGCTCCCCTCAGCAGTGTACTTAGTTGATCTGCCTGTTCTGCTCCCCACTCTGTCTCTGGTGAATCCTCTCACCCTCCGCAGCTCTGGCCTGTACCCCAGTTCTGTACAAATAAATAAATAAATCTTTAAAAAAAAAAATGAAGCTGGATTGCTTGCTAACATCACACACATCAAAAATTCCAAATGGATAAAAGATTTAAATATAAGACCTGCAAGAATGAAATATACACCGGTGAAAACATTGGTAATACTTTCCATGATATCAACAATAAAGATATTTTTGTGACTCAATTTCTTTGTCTAGGGAGTCAAAAAATTACCAACTGAAATTAGCTCATTTAAATTGCTTCTATACAGTGAATGAAAATATAAGATGATTAGTTAATAAAAGTGCAAACTGGAACATAGTTATATAGTACTTATATATTTTATGTTGAATACAATGATATTGACAGATACCTGTTCTTTCTGAGTTTTTATGTGCATCAAATCATTTACTCCTTACACCAACTTCACAAGGAACTTTATTATTAACATTGTTTCTATTTTACAGTTGGTCAGTGAGTACAGATAGTGGTACAGATAGTTGAGTACTTTCAAAGTTCACATAACTAATAGGTGGAGAGGACAGTATGAACCCGGACATTTTTTTCTCCTACCATGCTGTTTTGCCCAATGGAATGAGTAAAAATAGCTCTCTGGGCTGGGCCTGAGGGCAATTTGTGAAAGGTTCAGAGACACACCCAGTCTGTCTCCATAGTAGCCTGAATTTCACTTCAAAATCAGTGTACCTTTAGCCAATGGCAGAGATTAACAGCTTCATAGTCCTTTTAAGCCAAATCACATAAATACGTACTGAAGAAATAAATTATATTTGAAGCATTTTTTTTTAAACAATGAAGAATTGTAAATGTAATTTACCTTTGGACAAGTAACCTGCTGCTGTATTTTATTGATGAGTAATCCTCCATGCCCTTAATTATACATGGAAATCATGTTGCAGGTTCTGAAATTTCTAAAATTGGTGTGGCCTAGGAAAAGAGTATAGTAAATACATATATTCTACACATACTCACCAAGGATGCCAAGATGTTCCTCCTCAGGGCCTCTCTCTTTTCGATTTGTGAAGGAAGCATCTGTGTATTCACGATAAACCAGCTTTTTATAAGAACCTCCAATTCTTGCAGGACCTTGTTCAAAAAATACCTCTGAAGCACTGCAGAATGAAAACAGATGAATGCAGGAGTTAAAAGCAGAACAGAAAATTGGCCACCCATATAGAGAAACATTTTAACAAGAAATTATTTTGTATAATTTTTATATTTTGCATAATTTCCAAACAAAATAATATTTCCCATTATTTGCCTAACACTGCAACAGAGGCAGACAGTACCAGGTTACTTCATGGAAAGATACTCAGTTAAGAAATGGGGAATTACGGAACTTCACTTTTTCAAGTGAAGTGAAAATTTCAAGAGGTTACATGTTAACTCATGATAGTTAACACATTTTTCCATAGTAGAATCTTCTTTAAAAATATGAAATAAAACATTTTTAAAAATATAAGTACTATTTATTATAGTTTAGCACCAGCCAGGAGCTCTTTGGTTTTCTTTTATTATCCAAAATTCACATGGCAACAAGATATTCTTGTCCCCACTTTAAAATGGAGAAGCTAAATCTTGGAAAAGCACTGACATCCATCCTGCTCAACTCTATCAAAACTTGAGAAAGGAAGGATGCATTTTATTAGGTCAACATTATGCTAAAATCAAAACAAACCAAAGACAACATGAAAAAAAGAATACTATCGACCAATGAAGATGGATGAAAAATCCTCAATAGCAGCTTGAATTCAATAGTACATTAAAAATAATTATAGACCATGATCAAGTGAGAATTATACCAGGAACACAAGAATGTTTCAACATCCAAAAATCAATCAGTGCAATCCACCACAGGCACAAAAAATGAAAGACAAAACCCATATGGCAAGTCAACAGATGTGTAGAAAATATCTGATAAGATTCAACTTTTACTCATGACAAAACCCCCTGAAAAATTGAGATAAGTGGATTATAAGCCATATGTTACAAATGAACAGCCTAGATCATTCTCAATAGTGATAAAATAAAAGATTTCCCATTAATACAGCAAAATCGGCAGGGTTTAAATAAATTTACAAAAATCAGTTGTGTATTTGTGTTGAATGAATTAATTACAAGAGGAAGAAAAAAATCCTATTTACATTCATATAGAAATTAATATGTAAGTGTACACTTAGCAAAGGGGTGAAGAACTATACAATGAAAAAAAAACTATAATACGTTTTAAAAAGAAACAGAGATTAAAAGAAAAAAGGGGGAAATACCTTACTCATGATTGAAAGAATTACTATTGTTAAAATGGCCTTTGGCCTTCCCTGGTGGCACAAGGGGTTAGGACACAGCACTGCAAACTAGCCACTTCAGCACAAGTTCGATCCATGACCCCGAGTGACCTGGCACAGCAGATCTCACCTGTCTCGCCCGCTGCTCCCCTCAGCAGTGTACTTTCTCAGGCTGCCTGCTCCCCACTATGTCTCTGGTGAATCTTCTCAATGCCCCTGCACCTCTGGCCTGTACCCCAGTTCTGTATGCATAAGTAAATCTTTTTAAAAAATGGCCTTCATACCCAAGGCCATACACAGATCCAATGCAATTCCTATCAAGGCTCCAATGGTATTCTTCAAAGAAATAGAATAATCATTATTGAAATTCATCTAAACCACAAAAGACCCCGAATATCCAAATAATAGTGACAAAATGAGGAAGAGTTGTGTGTGATATTACATTCCCACACAGGCTTCAAACTATACTATAAAGCTATAAGCATTAATGAGCAAAAAAAAAAAAAAGAAAAAAAAAACAGATTAATAGGGAAAAAACCAGATACTTAGACAATGAAATAGAATTGAGAGCTCAGAGATAAACCCATTGATACCTAGACAGTTAATCTATGACTAAAGAGTAAGGGTATACACTGGAGAGAAATGGTGTTGGAAAAACAACAACATGCAAAAATTACACACAAAATAACTCAAAATGGATTAAAAACATGGATGTAAGATTCAAATAATAAAATACATTGAAAAAAAAAAAGACAAAATAGTCCACAACATCAATTTTAGTGACTTCTTTGTGGTTCATTTCGACAGCAAATGAAACAAAGGTTAATATAAACAATGCCTTTTTTTTTTTCAAACTACAGAGTTTTTGCACAATGAAGGAAACTCAGTAAACAAAAAGACATCCCACTGAATCAGAGAAAATACAACACATGATGCATCCTAAAACAGGCAGCTGTACAAAATCTATTAAAAAAACTCATGCAACTCAACAAAATGAAAATAACTGACTCAATCAAAAAGTAGACAGAAGATCTATGTAGACACTTCTCCAAAAAAATCTTACAGGTGGCTGATAGACACCTGGAAAAACACTCATCACTTATCAGGGAAATGCAAATCCAACCATAATGAGAAACTACCACACAACTGTGAGAACGGCACATGTCAAAAAGACCAGAAACCATTGTTGGCAAAGATGTGGAGAGAAAAGAATTCATACTGGGAATATAGACTGGTTCAGCCACTATGGAAAAACATATAAAGGTTTCTTGCAAAATTAAAAATATATCTAACAAACAATGCAACAATTCCACACCTAGTTATCTAACTAATGAATGCAAAAATTTAAAGGAATATATGCACTCCTATGTTTACTGTGGCCCCATCTACAATAACTAAATAATGGGATGTTATATCGGAAAATGTTTTGCCTGTTTTTTCTCCTTTATATCTTACAGTTTCAGTTCTTACATCCAAATCCCTTTGGAGTTGATTTTTGTGTATGGTGTGTGAGTTGGTCTAGTTTCATTCTTTTGAGAGTTAGCTGTTGTCCAATTTTCCCCAACACTATTTATTGAAGAGGATTTCCTTGTCTTGGTATACATGCTTGGTTCCTTTGGCATTGATTAACGGTCCATTTAGGACAGTTAATATTTCATTGTTCTGTGTGTTCTAGTATCCAGCATTTTTAACAGTTTATGACTTTTAATGCTTATGTCATAGTTTCAAGTCTGGAAATGTATACCACCTTTCTGCTTTTATGTTACGATATCTTTGACTTTTCAGGGTCTATTGTGGTTCCATATGAATTTCAAGTGTTTGTTCTGCTTCTTTGAAGAATACCATTGAAATTTTGAATTGCATTGAATCTGTGTATTGCTTTGAGTAGGATGGCCATTTGACTATGTGTCACAGTAGAGATGGAAAGTGTAACAGAAGTTATAAGGACTTGTGGAGATGCTTAATGGTTGCAGTATACAGAATGGTGGAAAATTTTCTGGAAATGTATAGTGTTTATTCTACGAACTTGCTGCTCTCCTCATCTGTGTATTTGAGTCCATTTGACTGTTCTGTTTCTCACCTTGTCTCTGGTGAATCCTCTCACCCACCCCCCCCCCAACCACCACCACCTCTGGCCTGTACCTCAGTTCTGTATGCATAAATAAATAAACCTTAAAAAAAAAATCAGTCTAATCGCTAAATTTCAGGTACCAATTAAAATTTTAAAATTTGAATCAACACTTTTTGGTATTTTTTTAGGTGGACCCATACTGTGAAAAAAATGTCTTTTCCCTGAATTACCTTCCAGGTGCTGTTAAGTTCTCTTGGGTGTAGGTGTCTAAGCCAGAGGGTGCATAGTTCCAGATGATTTCTTCAGCAGCAATGTAATAGTGTCTAACATGTTTCCCTTGGATATTGTCCTCTGAAGAAGGTTTGTTACAGTCTTGGACCTTGAAAAAGGCCTGCAAGCCAGCTGCAAGCCATACAAAAGGAAACACTAACTAATGGAGCCAAATGTTACTCTTTTTATTGCCTTTGAAACACTGAAGGTGAAATGATAGCTAGAATCTGAAGGAATTGGTAGCTGGAAACAATATTATAAATGAAATAGTTGTTATTAACTTACTGATGGCCATTTTTATTTTTCCCCCCACACTTCCACATTACATGATTTGGAGAACACAAAATATGGTACCATTTTCTTTAGGGTTTTACTTCAGATGTCTTTTGATGAAAAAAGAGAACTTTTAACTTTTGTCTTATCTTAAGGTCTCAGACAGGATGGAGAGAACATGTATTATTGTTCTCACACAAAATAGCTATGTACCTACTGCACTGGGTCTTTTGTTGCCAGGATCACATTTGGTAAGTGGTATTTATTTGAAGGTCCAAGTAACATACCTGGAGATCCATGTTAAACCCATTTTTCCAAATGAACAACGTTACAAACTAATATTTTTCAAGAGCTAGAAATGTCATACCATCTTATATTAAAAGGATAAGGAATTTATCATAATCTAAGGGACAGTTGGATTCAAATAAGGAAAGTGTTGGTTATATTTGGTAGAATCAAGTCAGAAATAGGCTACTTTCAGAACAATATATTAATAATACATCCTGGAGTTCACAATATTGCATATTTTATAAAGATGAGAAATCTTATATAGTACTATGTTCTTAGGACAGTAATATATTTCAGGGTCAATTATTCTTTTCCACAAATTATTACTTTATACTTTTTATTACTTTTAAATGCCTTGATTTTTCAGTTTTTACAAATTATAATATAATGCATAACATCATAGAAACAATATTAAGCTGCCAGTTAAAAATCATTCCAAGGATATTTAACTTCCATATTTTGATTCCCATTTAATTTCCTACCTTTCAGATGGTTTAGATTTTGACAGCTAAGCATCCATTCTCCAGGATTCTGAGCTACCATAAAAGCATCAACAAGGGTGGCAGGAAAGAGATTGATTGTTTCAACACGGTAGTTCTTGTTAGTCAACGTTTGTCCATGGAAGAAAGCTGAGTGTATGTCAACTTCATTACCCATACCAAAAAGATACCACTTCACTCTGTCCCCCGCACACATGGAGAGTCCTGGGAGACTTCCAAAACTGTATCCATTCACAGCTGCAAGTCAAGAACATAGATGGTGATTAAAGACACTGGTGCCTGGGAAGATTGTTGTTACAGAAAGAGAATCAACTTGGGATGGAAAATAGCTGGCACACTGCTATTAAGTATTGTCTCCTGTACTCAAATCAGACATAGCTTATTCACCACAATAGTCTTTCATTTTGGACCTGACTTCAGCTTCAGTCTTGTCAACCCAATATTAGCAAGATGAATATCCTACTGAAGATAGAGCCTATTTTCCCTCTTTGTTATAAATGATACATATGGATATATATGTGTGTGTTCATTTGTGTGCATACATATACAAAACATGCACATAATACAGTGAATAGGAAGAACATGAAGGGCTATTTATAGTCGATAATTAAAACCATGTTGTGGATCATATGATTTCACTGCTTTCTTTTTGTCTATCAGAACTTTAAAATTTTTTATTATTTATAGATATATTACATCATTGTTCATTTGAACAATGTATACTTTCTCCTCTCAGGGATAGTTTCCATAAAATTCCTATCACCAGTTCACCCATGCACCATCACCACAGTGCAGGGTGAACTGGTGGTGGGAGTTTATCACCATAATTCCTTATGCTATTCCCTCCCCTGTTTTGATTCCTCTGTTGCCCTTCCCTTGCAGAATTTCTGATTTATATTTGCCTGCGAATTTTGTTTTATTATTTATTGTTAATTGTTATTATTATTTTCCCAATCTCTTATATTCCTCCTATAAGTGGAAACACCTATATATATATATATATATATATATACACACACACACACATATACATATGTGTATATATATATATATTCCTTCTGGTTTATTTTGCTGAGAAAAAAAGAACTTTAAAAATTTTTATAGTGAATATGAATTGCTTTTATCAAAAGGTTTCTTTTTAAAGATTAGAAGACAGTATGGGGGGTCTTCTTGGTGGCATAAAGGGTTAAGTCTTAGCTCTAAGAAGCCACTTCATCACAAGTTCAATTCCCTGCCAGGGAGCTAATCCACATGGTGCAGAAGACCTCTGGTGTCTCATTCGCTGTTCCCCTCAGCAGTATATTTTAGTAGATCCACCTATTCTGCTCCTCACTTTGTCTCTGGTGAATCCTCTCACCCCCTACACCTCTGGCCTACTCCCCACTCTGGAATGCATGAACAGATAAAATCAATTTTAAAAAAAAAGGGACAACACTGGAAGATACATAGAGGGAACAAGTACGGGGGAGGACATTAGAGACCAAGGGTCTCTACACAATGGCCTAAAATTTCAAAAAAGTATGATGGCCCTGAGATGCTGAAGAACATTAGCATCACTGTTTAAATTGAATGTTCCTAGAGACAAAGTGGAAACATATTCTAGGAAGCACCATGAATACTCCAGATGCAATAGAGCTACCAAAATGAACTGTTGGGACTAGAAGTTTAAGTATTTTTCTCTTGACATCTATTTTTGTTAGTATATAACAAAGTCAGGTTTGATGAATGGGCAGAAGATCTTTCAGCCAGACATAAGCAAGCATTGAGGAAAAAAATGTATTTTTGCTAATTAGGTTATTATTCTACTTTGGTAGTACAGTTATTCTATTCTATTATTTTTTGTGTAAATGTTATTTTTCAGAAGCTAAAAACAAAAAAAAAATAAAAATCTGTACTTACTGGTTTACTTGATATGAAGGGATTTGATTTTTTTATACATGCACTTAAGGATAAGTAACAATCATACTGGGTTCACTATCTTGCATCTGAGAATTAAAGAGCAGCCTGTGCAGTAAAGCAAAAATTTCTAGAATAAATTGAACTAAAATATAGAAAAAAAATTATTCCAGAAAGGGAGAAAAGGACAGTATAAACATAAATTCCTTTTTGAAGTAGTGACTTAAATTATTTTCATAAATGTAGTTTGATGCTAAAAAATGTTAAGCAATTAGCTTAATAACTTCAGGCTGACTCAAACAGTTTTTAGAATGAGGTTGAAGGATAAATAAATACAAAAGAATATATATCCATTAAGCCATAACTGATCACATTTTGAAGAGAATTTAATATATTTGGCTTTGAGTTTTGATTTGATGTCAATGTTTAGCTAATTATCAAATTGTTTATCTGATCTGATTTAACATCAACATAGACCATAAACATACCACTTATTCAAGTGAGTGAGGTAAGCTAGAATTAATGGATCAAGAAGAAGATATTAAAAATTAATTAGTTTTTTTTAGTACCTCCCTGGTGGTCCAGGCTTAAATCTATGTGCTGTCACTGTGATGGCTTGAGTTCATTCCCCGCCAGGGACTACCTGACACATGACTTCAGCATTCATCCCCTGTCTTGTATACTACTCTCCTGTATTTCAGTAGATTTGCTTGTTCTGCTCCCTACTCCATCTCTGTTGAATCCTCTTATTCCCCATACCTCTTGCCTATACCCCAGTTCTTCCACATAAAAACAAAACAAAGCAAGAAAACCAAATGCTTAAAAAAAAAAAAAGTGTTCTGTAACCTTACAATACATTCTGTTACTCTCCAGGAAATCTTCATTGTCTTTGTCAACTTTCTCTGGTTCTGTGAAGCTTTTAATGTTGTCGTCTAGGTACCAGCTGAAATTTTCATCCACCACAGAAAACATCATCACGAATTCTTGGTCAATATTTTTTTCTTTTTCTTTATCCAGGATACCTGAATGAAAATTACTACTTCATTAGGCATTAATTGCTAGCATGTAGTTTAGCTTGTGATCTATGTTTTCTAAATATCTTAGTGTTTATTCTCCTAAGAACCACAATTAAAGATTAGTCATTCCATTTTACAGACCTGGCAACACTTAGGAAATTTTATGCTGGGCTTGGGAGACCCTCATTTATCTGACTGTCTATTGACCACATAGATGTTAACATGCTTTTTTGGCAAATGTGAAGGTTGGAACTCAAAGTTCTGTCTACATCTTCTGCTGCATATAGCCACAGGATGAGAAAACAAATCATTCTAATTTATAATAGCAACATGACTTACATTGTTTTACCAATGCAATACAGAAAACTGCAGCTCTGTTGCCATGGAGTGTCACTAGGGAGTCACATGTGTGAGACATCTTCAACACTGTTAGAAATTAGATAGCCTGGCCCCAAAGAGACAATAGGTCTCATGGCTTAGCAATATGTATGACTGTTTGCTATTTATCCTTCCTTTATTTATCCATCCCTTTTTTTAGAAACACCATTCTCTACTTAACCAACTTACCAACATAACAAGAAAGACTTAACGTACATTTAAAGAACAAACTTCATTATCTCTTGTCTTTTGATCATACACTATAAGCAACAAAATATACCTTTTTTACAGATTATTAAAGGTCCAATGAGTCCTGAGGCGATATCCTTTGGAGCATCAATGTGGGAATGGTAAATCCTGGTCACACAGTTGCCATCTTCCTCACCTGGACTTTGTTCCTGGTTGGCGTGCAGTATGTATGTATATGCCTCACCTGGATTTACTTTGTCATCTAACTTTTGAAAATCTGTGGTGTTATCAGGGTAGAGAGCTCCTGGGAAGAAACATGTAATGAAATCACAAATTAAATGTGTTAAATAGAATAGGTGGTTCAAAAATTCAGTGATGTTCTAGAGGAATGACAGGCCAATAGCTAGGGAGTCTGGAAAATTCACAGAAAAATTGGTAATTTTTTTTTATACTTGACTGAGTCTTCAGGGAGCAGGAACACATATATGAGGAATATAATGAGTTTGGGTTTGGAATATAAATACTCAGTTTTGTGTCTCTGTCCTGTCTCCCCTCTCCTATACAGTTGCTCCTTGAACAACACAAGTATGAACTGGTGGACTCACTTACATGAGGATTTTTTCAGTAAATATACTAAAATTTTTGGGGGAGAAATTATGACGATTTGAAAAAACTCACAGATGAACTACATAGCCCAGAATAGGAAAGCAAGTTATAAAAAAGTTAAGCATGCCATGGATGCATAAAATGTAGTAGATGTTGGGATATTTTACCATTTACTGTCATAAAATATACACAAACCTATTGTGAAAAGGTTAGAACACAGTGTGTGCTTTGAGCTATTTCCCGGTGAGAGAAATTTAAAATGTAAAGATGCCATATAAAATTATAACTGCATGAAATTAGCTGTAGTGCACACTGCATAGCTGTAATAACTTGGTAGTCACCTCCTACTGCTGTTGCAGCATGCTCAAGAATTGCAAGTATCTGTTTAAAATACCTGTTATGAAATATATATATGATCTGTACATAGACTTTTGGTGCTCAACAGAGTCAATACTCTTAACACCTCTGTTGTTCAAGGGTTAATTGTAATTAAAAACTTCTTAAGTAATATCAGCATTTGTCCATGAAATAACTAATACATTTTAGATTTTTTAATTTGGGAAAATCCCAAACATACAGAAATTGAGAGAGTAATATGATGAATTTCCATGCATCCATCTAAATGGCTTTAATCGTGAGCAAATAAATGTCAATCTTGCTTTATCCATACTCTACTCACTCCATTCACATTAAATAATCTTAAAGCATTAATTTCACTCATACATACTTGGCTATGTATCTTTAAAAGATAAGAAACTCTTTTTTTCTTTTTACAAAACTACAATTATTATATTTCAAAAATAATTAGTATCTTAGTATGCCATAAAATTATGAAAAAGAAGTAAGATAGCTTTCATTCTGTAAGTATGAATACAAGTTTAGGTCAGAAAAAGAGCCAAAGAGGTATATGGTCAAATCATTCACCTTCTAAAGAAATACTTCTTTGAAAAATGTTAATATTTATCAAATTTAATTTTATATTAATTTCTAGACTGGCTGTTTTTAACTTCAATAAAGTGTAGCATGGTCTCAGCATATTTATGTTAAGAACTAACATATATTGAGCTATTACTATGAAATCTTGTTCTTATTACATATATGAAGAAACTGATGCACAGAAAATTCCAATGATTTGACCAAGTTCATGCAGACAGTAAAAGGCTAAGTTCCACTCAAATCTTGTTCTGTTAATTTCAAAAAGCCCCTACTCTTAATCACAGGAAACACTACTTCTTTTCAAGGTCATTGGGTACCACATTTAAGTGGTCCAAGTTCTCCATTCATATGACTTTTGGTCAATTGTGTTACAAATGTGACCATGTGACTGAGGGTGAAACTAATCATGCTCAGTTTTAGGGGGTTCAAAGTTTATCTAAAGTTAAGATGGGAGGTGATGATGACCACAGCATATGCAGACTTAGGAACATCAGAGATAAGACAGTCATGTTTCATTTCCACTGCATTTTTGCTACTTCTGGGCCTTAATACATCCCAACTATTTTTCATAGCTTATTTACTTGGCAAGGAATTGGGCACTGGGATGAAGGTGCAGCTCTCAGTGATGCTAATTGTATGAAACTCCCTGAAATCCCATCACAGTCACATGTTACAAACACAAGTTATGCAAACGAGACATAGCATTATTGTAATGAATCAAAATACTTATTAATAAAATAGCTTATAGCTAAACAATATAGCTACAAGTCCTATTCAAAAGGGAGGTCCATAATTTCACAAGTTAAGAACTATTCTAGTATAAAATTGAAAGGAAATTCCAATTAATATATGAGCTGAACTTACCCTCATGTTCTTTATAGTAAGTTATTCCATGTGGATGAAAAGTATAAGGCCTAGAAGCAAAGTTTTTTAAATGTACATAAACTTTATCTCCAATTTCAGCTTTGATAATAGGACCTAAAAACCCCAGCCAGCCAGGTTTTTCTATCGTAGTCTTGAATGATTCATCTGTGTACTGAAGATAAATGGCTTTCTTGTATACACTTCCAATTCTATCTGGGCCGTTTTTAAGATAGGTGTCGGAATGTTCTCTGTAAAGGAAAAGAGGACAACTCTATCAGAAGCTACAGTTTCTGTGACCAAATTATAATTAGAGAGAAATTAGTGGCCACCTTACATGAAACATTGTCTATTACCACAGGGATGCCTTCGAACAAAGGTGTGGAGAATGGCAATTACCCTACTGTTTTAATTAGGTGTGGTGTCCCACACTAGGTGTATGGCTAAAGGTGCCATAAAAATTCAGTGCATCTTTTTACAGGGCAACCCAATGTGAACTGGATTGCCTGTCTGTGGGTCCTCACCCTCACCCACTCTCTTAAAAGTTCAATTGTACTGCAGATACACACACAAAGGGTCAACAATGGGTTTATTTACAAAGGGGAAAGGAAAAGAAACAACTCAGGGAAAGAGAGAGATACAAGTTAACTAGAACATCCTACCAGCTCTGCTAACTTGGAACTCCAGTAGCACATTGAAAGCTCATCAAGAGCCTAATGACCAGCCACCAGCCACCAGCAACGCAGTCCAGAGTGAGAGGGAGCATCTCAGGTGGCTCCCTCATATCTCCCCAAAAGTTCCAGAAAGCCTTCTTAGCTCCACCCTTGAGTCCTCACAGTTTTCTCTGTGATATTGTTGGGACTTGTAGTTTCCTGGAGTAGTGGGTAGAGTCCACAAAGCACTGCAGAGTTCCCTCAGGACATCCTTTCCCCCTAACAATCTTACCAGAGTACTGTTTCTAAGATTTTTATTTTAAACACTGGGGCATAAATGGCATATTAAAATTAAGCTATGAATTAAGATTGTTATTGCTTGTACTACTGGGAAAAAGTAGGATTTATAAGCAATAACCAATATGAATATTTGAGACTTCAACTTATGTATACCTTTTTTTCCCCTGAAAGTAAAAAGAATGGTGCTAACTGAATTTTATCATTTTTATTTCTTTTAGCATCATTAATAAAAACTGATACAACTTGAGTGTGGCTTTTTAAAATATTTTTTCAGCGCCCTCCCTGGTGACACAGCAGTTTAAAGCACAGCACTAAGAACCTAAAGCACTTCAGCATGAGTTTGATCCTCGCCCCAGAGGTGATCCACATGGCGTGGCAGACCTCTCCTGACCTGCCGGCTGCTCCCCTCAGCAGTGTACTTCGTCTATCTGCCTATTCTGCTCCCCACTCTGTCTCTGGTGAATCCTCTTACCACCCCCTGCACCCCAGTTCTGTATGCATAAAGAAATAAATCTTTAAAAGAATATATTTTCAAATTACTCCTGTGTTTTGCTAAAAATAACAACCTTGAATGTTTATATTCTGGTTAGCAGCTAATGTTGTTCAAAACTTTCCTAAATATATCACCACTTTGATGCCAGAAATTGAGGGGGGGGGGCGGGGAGAGAGAGAGCGCTAGTTTGGTATTCAAATTTTTGAAATAATTTTTATGTTTTGTCCTTACCAGAAGGCTCTGGATAGCCCAGCAGGGTCTAGTGTGAGCAATGCCATGTAGATTTAGGGGGAATAACTTAAAACGTGGACTTTGGCAAGGCTACTGAAATTGAAGCCTCCTCCATTAGAGGAAAAAAACAAAAACAATAGCTAGCATTCAGGCTGAGGATCTTGGGCTTGTGTTTGCTAACATATTTGTGTGTGTGACCTTTGACTCTTTGCTATTTTTCACTCAACCCCTGTGGGCAGGATAAGAAACAAAACTTTGTTTTGTTTCTTCAGCTGTTAGCTCATGGGAAAGAGTGAGAGATTTTTTCCTTCCTGTTCCTAGGACAAGAGTAAGGTTTGTCTGGGAGCTCTGTCTGGACTTTCCTTGTAGCAGAGTTTAAAGGCCTAGCTTTAAAAAAATCTGGGGTCCAATGCTCATATTTTTTAAGTTTTAATGAGCATAGGAATCTATTGTCGACCTTGATTAAAATGCAGATTCCCGACTTCAGCCCTATTGATTCGACTTATCTATCTACATTTATAATTCAAACCGTGTTCTGATGCTGCTCTGGGCTCATGTAACCTGAGTAGGGGAAGCTCTGCGGGAAAGGGGAAGAGTCGGCTGCCCAGTCCAGAGGCGGTGGAATTCCTCAAATTGTGAAGCAGAAGATGGCAGACTCCATTTTCTGAACTTGGTGTGGCCAGGTCTCTGTCAACATGGTTGAGGGGGGCCTTGTGTTAAGCTGGGTGCTGGAACCAGAGGGCATGGTCACCTGCTGTGGTTCAGGGGGTGGAACTTGGGCATTAAGGCTATGTATCTTTTCAAAAGGTGGCTCTTTATGACATCAGGAGCATGTCACATCCTATTTCAATACCTATAGTGGGCTTTATTAAACGTTTTTGTTGCATTCAATGTCTCTTGAATCATCTGAAAAAGGAGCATTACCTAAGCTACACAAAGAGTTTTGAAAGGTGAAAATTACTTTTAAAATAAGTGATAAAACTATTGATCTGAATTTAGGGTATTTTCGGGGTTTTTAACTTTCAGGTTTCCTTTTGCAAAAGAGGATTTTTGTCTTATCTTTTTTTGTGTATGAAACAAAATTGTCTTAACTAAATTGGGAAGGATTTCACATTTTGTGATAATTTGGGAGGTCTATTTGTTTATGCTCTGTCTCCAAAGGAACATCAAAGGGTCACTAGGCAGTATCTATTTCATTTCAACAGCACAGCTTGGGGGCAAAGGGCCAAATTCCTGGAAGCTTGAAGGAAGTTTGCCAGTCTTATATTCACTCAAATGGTTTATTATAGTTGTTCTTTGAATCAAAAAGGAATTCACATTACTTGGCATTTTTTTCCTATTGCCAATTATGATACACTCCTTTGTATTCATTATAGTAGTTACACCCTCCCCCTTTCTCGAAAATCACATCTCCTTTTCACCTTTCCCACCCCACAATTCTGATCATTTTATAGTCAACTACTGAACTTTCTGCTACATTCAGACCCAGAAGTGAATTTTGGATGGTGGGAGATTAAAACTTTTTATATTGCTTTAGATAATAACACTACTCTAAAGAATTCAGATGAACTTGTTTTAAATTTACACATGGTTACTAAAGTGTGAGTATTATATGAAAAGTTTCTGAATTCTTGCCTCCATTAATTGAGACATATTAGTTTCCTATTGCTGAATAAAAAATTATCACATAGAAACTTAAAACACATAATAATAAATGGAAACATTTATTATTCCCCAGTTCTGTTGGTCACACTCTGGCACAGTATGACTGATTTTCTGTTCAGGTTATTACAGGCTGAAATCAAAGCAAGTGTCAATAAGTGTCTGGAAAGTCTGTGAAGAAATCCACCTCCAAACTCATTCAGGCCATTGGCAGAATTCATTCATTGCAACTAAATATATTGACATACTGTTTCCTGCTGTCAGTCAAGGGTCTCTCCTGTATTTTATCTTTGCTTCTGCAGTAGGCCCTTCTATCTTCCAATCAGCAACAGCTTTTTAATCTCTCTCAAATCTCTCGAGTATCTGATTTCTCTGCTGTAAGCCCACCCAGATAATCAACCCATTTTAAAGTAAACTGTGCTACTGAGTATAAAATAAATCACAGGAGTGATGTTGCATTATATTATGGGTTCTGGTGAGTTAGGGTAGGACATCTTGAGGGAAACCATTAAAAAATTTCTGTCTAGGCCCTCCCTGGTGGCGCAGCGGGTTAGGACACAACATTGAGAAGCTAAAGCCATTTCCTCATGAGCTCGATCCCCGCCTGTCCCGGAGGTGACCACATGGCGTGGCAGACCTCTTCTGACCTGCCCGCTGCTCCCCTCAGCAGTGTACTTAGTGGATCTGCCTGTTCTGCTCCCCACTCTGCCTTTGGTGAAGCCTCTCGCCACCCCTGAGCCTCTGGCCTGTACCCCAGTTTTATGTACAAATAAATAAATATTTAAAAAAAAATTCTGTCTACTATACATAGGAACCACAAGGAAAACAATAAAATATTAACTGGTAGGAAAAGATTCATCCTAGGTCTACAGAGTACAAACAAGGGAATCATAGTTTCTAAGAGTAGTCTTACTGCACTAGCACCGCATGAAAACACTATCTAGTTGTCTAAATTCCCAGGGAAAACAAAAACTGTAATAATACATTGTAGAGCTTGAAAGGTGTGAAATGTCATAGTTAATTCCTTCATATAGGCCTTTTTGTATGAAATGTTGTGCCACATTTTATTTATATTTGAAAGTATTGATTATTCTAAGTGGCTGCTCCAAGTGATTTTATCTAATAATTGTATTTACTTAAAAGTCATTACACATTTTAAAGTATTTTAAGGGGGCAAAGTGTAAATATTTTATTTAAAAAAGATTTATTATTTATGCATACAAGAACTTGGGTATAGGCCTGAAGTATGGGGGCAGGGGTGAAAGGATTCACTAGAAACAGACTGGGGAGCAGAACAGGCAGACTGACTGAAATACACTGCTGAGGGAATCAGTGGGTGGGACAGGAGAGATCTGCCATGCCATTGGTCACCTACCTGGCCGGGGATTGAACTTGTGCTGCAGTAGCTGTGGATAGCTTCATATGGCTGTGTTTTAACCTTTTGTGCCACTAGAGAGGACCCCAAGCCCTCAAGCTCTTAACAAATTTCTCTCTCTTTTATTCTCAACTTTTTAGAATTAAAGGCTACTTTATTGAAAAATACTTGGGGGTAATATCTTTCATTTGTTTTATGCCCAGTAAAGCTGATTTGATTTTTAATCATGAGTAAAGGCAGAAAAATGGTGAGAGGGGGCATGAAATCGGACAGTACTTTTCTTTAATGTGTTGGTTTTTCTATAAAATCCTCACATAGTTTGCATTGTACTTAGAGAAAAAAAACTGGGTCTTTAAAAAATAATGGTGAAAACATGAAAATTGGTCATACTCCCAAGAAAAGAATACTACCTTGAAACCAGTTTAAAAAACTAATTGCAATAAGCTAGTTTTATTTAGAATCTTAGGTCAGAAACTTCCCCTATTGTATATTGTTAATTTAATAGGAAAACAATTTGATATTTTTATAAGTTAGATACTATTAAATTATTAGGTATTATAATAGATATTTTTAGCTAGGCATTAATTTGTTATTATGAAATAGCTCAAGTATTGATAAAATTAATGAGATTTGTATCTATGCATCAACAGAAGTCAACAATTACAAAATTTGGTATACTTGTTCAACTACTTTTTAAAACTACAATCTAAACAGCAAATGGTCATGAGTTCATTTGTGCTTTATCACTATCAATATGCATTTTAAGATAAAAATGGGTCTTTAATGATAAAATAAATATGGTGGCAAATATTTAATTACCATTATTAAAAATGATGGCCTAGGAATAGATAAACTCCACCACAAAATACCTCAAGGAAAACTACTTTCTTCTTTGTGTAAATGGTGAATATTGCTTGAAATGAGGGAACTTTCAACTGAAATATAAAAGCATTTGTGTTGCATGGAGATATAATGGTTGGGTTATAAAAGACAGGTAATAGAGAGAGACCAATTGATATCTGACATTTTTGTTCATAGATGATGTGCCATTCAGTGTACTAAAAGCTTCATATCCTTGCTCTTCAAATAATCTTACTGATAATCCTATTAGCTCCACTTTATAGAGATTAGGCTGCTGTAGCTGCAAACAGATGAATCCTGTCAGAGTTATCCAACAAGTATTAGGCAAATTCATATTTTTAAAAATTGTAACTGACCTAAAAATTATGTTTTGAAGGATTACAACATATTTTATCCTTCCTACTAAAAAGTTAGGAAATGTCTTTGCATTAACTTAAAAGATTTCTGTAAACAGACAAAAAGACAGCTTTGGTGGGTGAGGCAGTGACTCCGCAGAGGATAAGAAGCCTCACTGTTCCCATGGTCAAGAAAAAGCAGCTGGATAACCACTTGAAAAACCCCGTAACTTAGAGAATGTTTATTAAAAAATAGCTTGGGTTTCAAGTCCAGATTTTGCCGTTCGTGTGTATAACAAATTAAAGAAATATTTCATCTTCTTGGTTTTATTTTTTTAAACTGACAGTTTATAAATCTGTAACAATGAAAAACAATGAAAAGAGACTTACGTGTCAACGGAAATAAGCTTCTTTTCCCCATTATCAGAAGCATAGTTCCAGTTTGTTTCAATAATTCCAATGTAATAATGCTTCTCTTTAGCCCAGACTGAACTATAGAGTAGAAAAGTGCCAAGCAACAAAATCTTCATTTTTTATCTTCTTGTAGCCTGAGAAGCATTGAAATGAAATCAGAAGCAGGCAATTTTATAAATAAGGCTTTCTCCTTTTATTTGCTTGATTGACACAATTTAATGTTGCACAAGAACAAATTGTTTCGTTAAAGCAAATAACATTTTCCACTTCAGCTCGGTTCTCGTAAATCCAGAAAAAAAAAGTTTTCTGTTGCCAGGCTTCTCTGATTACAAATAAGACGTCCGCAGTTGTTATTGGAAGCCCTAGAGTCTGCATAACTCTGTACTTTCTTCCATTCATTGTGTAAATTCCGAGAGGGCAAGGATCATCTCTAAATACTCCCTTTGAGCCTATGAGGGACAGTGTCATCTACCCAGTAAAATTTTAATAAATCAGTATAAAGTTTTTGCAAAATGAATCAAATACTTTCAAAATCTTTCAACATGTCAGTGCAAGTTTAAGACATGAATCATGATATTTACTATGACAAATTTAAGTACTCACAAATAAGTTTATTTTGAAAGTTTGAGGATTTATCTTTTTTAAGGTCTGAACACTTTTGCAAAGGAAATTTACCAGTTTATTCTGTATCACTCTCCTTAAATAACCAGTAGAGCATAACAGGAATTGGTGATTTCACTTTCAATCCTCAAAATCATTCATAAACCTTACTTAAAAGACAAAGGTTGGTTTCAGTAAATAGAAAGTTTAGTAACCTGGGACTTCTCTCACTGACATGGATATGAATTTCAGAGTAAAGGATTTTTTCTTTAAACATTGTCTTTAGTCATGATGTATTTTTTTTTCTAAATTTTGGTTTAGGGTACATCATTTTTTATATTTGTCTTATTTCCATAGGATAGTTAATGGGGACAAGGACACCTTACAAATTGTTGCAAGAAACAAATGAGATAAAGCAGGTAAATAATTTAGCAAAGCACTTGGCACATATTAATGGCTCAATACTGACAGTTCTTGATCATGAGGTATCTTTTCTACGTTGATCATAATGGTGTACATTTTTATGCGAACATAAGTTTTTTCTAGAATACCTCAAAGAGTTATGTAAGTCTTTGCCAAAAGTTGTTTACACAAATAGTTTGGTCTAGGACCAAACACCCTGAGGTTCGAGCACTTCATTCATTTACGAGGCATTACTCAGAGTGTCTGTGTGCCGGCACTGTTCTCAGCAGCAAGGAAAGCACAGTGAATAACGCAGATGTGAATGCTGCCCTCAGCAACTGCTTTTGAGAGTCCAACAATAGGCAAATGGAGTGAAGTACAGAATACTAACAGTGTCCTATAGAGAAAAACAAAACCAGGAAGGACAATAATGAATGCTGGGGAAAACAGCAAGATGAATATCAAAATTTGGTGGTACCATATGACCTCAGACAATTTCCTCATCTGCCTTAGTTTCTTCATCTTTAAAATCTCAGACTTAGAGGGCTATTGTCCAGAGTAATCACAATGATCCCTATAAGGCACACAGAGGAGACGCGCCTCTCTCCAGCTGCCATTAATCTTAACTAATTGTCCTTCTAGAGAAAACTGAGCCACAGAGCCTGGGGTGTTCCAAACTTCCTTCTCAAACAACTTAAAACAACTGTGTCCTTATTTTCATTGAGGCGAACAGAGTGGGGCTAAACTCTTGCCAGACACCATTGGTCCAGTCTTGTGCCTCATAGGATGCTGTTTCTTTTTCAAACATGAGTGCTCAGAGGGATTCCTTTTTCCAAATGGTCCACGCTATCTTTAAGACCTTCATCTTCAGAGACAGCAACTTTCATCTGATTGGCACAAAGCCACTGCGAGTTAAGCGACTTCCCAGCACTTCCTTCTTTTTCTCACCGTCTATTCCATATTCCAACTCTGCCTCGGGGTGGAAAGATGGCAATCAGAGCACAATTTCTGGAGTCACTTCTTCCAGCAAATTTTACCCCTTAAAACTTCTCAGTTACTCAGGGCCCTCCCTGGTGGCACAGCAGGTTAACGCACAGCACTAAGAAGCTAAAGCCACTTCCTCATGAGTTCAAACCACGGAGCCCCTCCCTACCCTCCCCCCCTCCAGTGATCCACATGGCCCCACAGACCTCCGCCGACAGCCCCACCCCCCACCCTCCTCAGCAGTGTATTCATCAGTGGGCCTACTGTGCTCCCCACTCTGTCTCTGGTGAATCCTCTCACTGCCCCTGCTCCTCTGGCCTGTACCCCACCCAGGTCCCCCAGTTCTGTATGCATAAATAAATAAATCTTAAAAAAAAAATGGCCCTCCCTGGTGGCGCAGTGGGTTAAAGCACAGCACTAAGAAGCAAAGTCACTTCAGCATGAGTTCTATCCCCTCCTGCCCTGGAGGTGACCACATGGTGCAGCAGACCGCTCCTGCCCCACCTGCTGCTCCCCTCAGCAGTGTACTTCATCTCTGCCTGTTCTGCTCCCCATTCTGTCTCTGGTGAATCCTCTCAATGCCCCTGTACCTCTGGCCTGTACCCCAGTTCCTTATGCATAAATAAATAAATCTAAAAAAATAAAATAAAATAAATAAAAATAAATTAAAAAAAAAACCAAAAAACAAAAACTGCTCAGTTACACTACTTTCATGGTAATTGAAATGGTTCAAAAGTAAAATTCCCAATTGTAAATTTTTATGGTGTAATGCAGGGATGGGTATTGTGTAACCATCTCAGGTCAGGCAAGTTTATTGCTGATTTGGGCAAACAGGAAAGAGTCTTGGAGCCCTCAGTCTTGCATTATCATGTGTAGGCAATAAACCTAGGAGGAAAACAAGGATGCAGGTGGTAGCCACATAGGCTAGTGGTGGGGAAGCAAAACAGAGCCTGAGTGACTTCATTTTCCTCAGGGTCCTTTTTTTTTGCAGTATAATCTACACATTACTTTTCTGCAACTTCTCCTTGGCAAGGAGTATCAACACTAACTTAGAAAAACAATACAGGTGTAATAGAATGCAATTAACACTGAAGGTTGAAACCTTTGAACATGGATAGGGGATGTGTGTATAGAAAACTCCACATGTGGCTTCTGGTTTCCACTCCAGCTGTGATTTGCAGCCACAAACTCCCAGGCTGTACTCTGAGACTGGCAGAACATATACTTCATACTCCCATAGGGGTTATCACCCATTCCCCAGAGTGTCACTCTGACACTCTGGCCTCCATAGCTGTCTATGAAACGAACAGACCCCTGAACTAAAGCCAACCCTTTGCTCATAGGTTGGGGAACCATGCATAGCAACTCCACATGTGGCCTCTGGTCCCTCTCTGAAGGTCAAAACCCTTTCACAGCAGCCCCCCCTCTCATGGGAGTTAACTGCTGGTGCTCTCGTAATTGTCTCTAATTCTAGCAAGCATGCATTGGGACATGCATCTAAGTTGGCTCAATCTACATCTATTCTTAGTAGATCTACCTACATTTGGGCACATGTTACTTTAAGAGGCCTACTTTGGCGTCCTTTACAGTTGCTTAACAATTCCTCATGACTTCCTGACCTTGGCACCAGCTTTTGGACTTATCTAAGTTGGTCTTTTGATACAAACTCTGCATGGCTGCAGCGTCCCTGTCAAAGGCTTCTTCCCTCAACCAATCTTGTGCTGCTGCAAGCCTCCCCCTGCCCCCAATCTAACTTGTTCATGGGGACAGTTGCTACCTGGCTTTGTCTACTGCAGCTCCTTGGCTGGTTGTGCACAGCCATCCACTGAGACCCTGGGTATGCCAGGAAGCATACAAGGCTGCTTTAGGCCACTGAGACTTACTGGTTACCCCTTGATTTTCATTTCCTGAGGCATGCAAATGATACATCCACCCCCAGGTCATGTAGACATAGCCAATCTATCAAAATTTCCCTGCCTTCTGATGGAATTGTTTGTTCAAGTCTCAGTTTTATCTTTGTGTTACAGCTGGGTGAGCGCCAAAAAGCAGTCCGCTTTTTCCCATGAGTCTGCTACCTCCCTGGCCATCTCCTCCTCCACACAAGTTCTCAGATGTTCCCACAGCGTCAACTTATCCTTCCATTCCTGTGCTCCCATGGCGCACCCAGTGTTGCCTTTGACTCTATTTGCAGAGCTGCGAGGGAACGCTCATCCTCCAGCCCCTGCCTCTGAGCAGCACCAGGTCTGTCCAGTGTTTCCCCTACTGTTTGCTTGAGTCCTTTCCATTTGTACTGAGGATCTATGTCTACCTCTGGTCATTCATGGGAAGGTACCCACAAAAAGGAGGCTGGCCACTGAGTACAAATGCTCAAGGCCTATTACCACTCAGTCCCTCCTAAGGTCTTCAGAGGGCTCCATATCCATATGTGTCAAATTTTTGATGACTTTCATCACTTGGTGTGTCCTTTGGCTGTGTTGAATCTTGTTGACTACATCTCTTGTTGTGCAAGTGACCTCCCAGACTGGGCAGGTTCATCGTTGATCTGGGCAAATGGAAGAGTCTGGGAGCCTTTGATAGATTTGATAGGTCTTTAATGCTGAAAGAGGGAACCAGGTATATAGACAGACCAGCAGGTTGGGAGGCAGTCAGGTGGGAAGGCAGGGGTGGCATAGGGGTGTCCAGGAGGCAGGCAGAAACTGAACCTCCCGGCCCCTGTGATCTCCATGCTTCTCTTTGTGCTTCTCCATGCTCTTCAGCTTCTCTTCTTCCTCTTTTGATATCTCTAAACCTTTCTCAATATTCTTATCAATTTCTCCTCTCTAAATTTTCCACTTTGACCCAGGCATCTGCATTTATATAAGTGTGCATACCATGCTCTCTGATTTCTTGCCTTGGGTGCACACTTCCAAGTGCTTTTTACATTAACACATTATCACATGTGAATGCAATGAAACTTAACAGGAAACCTAGGAAGAAAATAATGCTACAGATGTCAGCCATAGAGGCTAGTGGGAGGTGAAAAAGAGCCTGAGTAGTCACTCCATTTTGTTATAGGGCTAAAGTCCATTTCTGTTGTTTTTGTGAATAGTGACCCTTATCATTAAGGATAGTGTTGCAGGAGTAGGAACAATGCTCTGTGCCTTAGGATAAGAAGACTAGATAAGGAAAGATTACTGAGGGTTAATAGCATCATCCATCCACACAATCAATGCAAACTTCCTCCAAAGCTGGTACATAAAAGTGAACCTTGAGTAAAGTTTCAATATAAAATTTCTGCACTCAGGAAATGAATAAAAACAGTGAGGAGAGATAAAGAGAGGCTTTGCAATGTAGAACACAGTGAGAAGTAGAAGAAAACTATACACTATACTAAATTGCCTGTCCTCTTAGCTATTATCTGTCAAAATGTCTTTCACCATAGAACCAAAGTGTGTACCACTGTAATAAAGAATTACTAATGCCTTCTAACTTTTAGTAACCTAAGTTACATAATACATGTTTTCATCAGTTCCCATAATTTTTCTTGTTTTTTTTGGAGAGATTTCTGGACTGTTTGTGTCTTAAATACACTTAACAATTGAGATTCATGGGTTGATAATGGCTATCATTGAGGAAGTAGCCTTTTACTTTATTTTCTACTATACCTGTATTTGTCCTTTATTGTTTCTGTTGATGCACAAGAACCATTGATAAATCTTAATCTCTAATCCCATGACAACAGAGTTAGTAAGAAACAAATAACTATGCTCTTTGTGACAGCAGGAGACTGTAAAGTATAAAATAACTAGTCATTGTATCACAACCATGCTACTATCCCTTTTACAGGAAATTGTGTAACTCTGGAATTTTCCCATGTATGTGGCCACAAACTGAAATTGGATAATGAGTCCACTTACTTAACCTAACACAGGTGATCATGGTTGAGGTTCTTATCTTCTATTGATCAGTTCATGACTGTTTAGGGAACATTCACACTAGTGTGTCTTTGATTGCTTCATCTCCTTTGGCTGCCTTTGAATTGGTCAAGGTCCTATGCATCATTTCCGAGCATGTAGAGGGGTCACAGGCAGGGGAAAAGAAAAAGCCAAGACTCTAATCTAGAAAAATCCTTGATGGTGTTGATGACTACAGTACTACGGGAAAAGGGTTATTTTTGAATGGAATAAGAATTTCAGTTATTCCTTATGCCTGTTTTTTTTTCTTTCTTTGAGGGTTTTGGAATTCAAGTTTTCCATTTACTTGTTTTTGAAGGGGATTTCCATTCTTGGATTTCTTTTTTTAAAAAATTAAAGAATGAAAAAAATTAAAGAAAGACTTATTCACAAGGTTTGATTCCATAGAAATTTAATTTATGATTTTCCAGAAACATTTCCTTTCATTACAACCCTAATCTTATCCCTCTTGCTTGTACACCATGCTCTGTTAAAAATGAAGTCAGGAATTTTTACGTTGGTTCTGGGAAATTGGAATTTACCTGTTTTTGTAACCTGTAGTCTTTGAAGAGCAGGACACATGATAGGGTATGCATTTGTACTTTAAAGAATGATTAAAATGCTTCCCATATTATGTAAATCTTTTAAAATATTTGCAAATAGTACAGTTTAAGTTAAAGACTTGTATGTGTATTAGCTAGATTTCAGTTGCCACTGTTTCTTTGTCTCTTTTACCTAGTTCTCCTGTCATTTATTAAAAGTATTATTCCACTCTTACAGACTCTATTCCAGTGGCACAGTTTATGGAAAAAGGAAAGCTCTCACACAAATTTTTTCAAAAACCTTTTATTTCAAGCTAGTCTTCCAAGCACACGGTACAAGTCTGACTTCCTAGTATATAGTCAGGCTAATCTTCTTACTACATAGTCTTTAGCTACCCCCCTCCAGGCTCCTTCATCCTTGGAGTTTTTCTTCTTTTGTAGTGTTAGCTCTACGGCTGGACTTGCAAACATTCATATGAAGGAGATTTTTTTTTAAAGATTTATTTATTTATTCATATAGAACTGGGGTACAGGCCAGAGATGTGGAGGGTGAGAGGATTCACCAGAGACAGAGCAGGGAGCAGAACAGACAGATCGACGAAGTACACTGCTGAGGGGAGCAGCGGGCGTGGAAGGAGAGGTCTGTCTTGCCATGTGGATCTCCTCCCTGGCAGGCGGGAATTGAACTCATGTGGAAGTGGCTTAAGCTTCTCAGTGCTGTGCTTTAACCCGCTGTGCCACCAGGGAGGGCCCATGAAGGAGATTTTTATCCTGTAGTAAAGAAATTTTCATAAAGTTCTAAATTGAATATTAAACTGAATTTTTATATCATATCTTTAAGTAAAAACACAAAATCTATATAAGTTTTAAGGGCACCTTTAAATGACCATTGTTTTAGTAAAAAAAAAAAATTAAAAGTATTTGTAATATTAATTAAATAACAACTTTGTTATCACTTCTCCCATGGGGATTCAACCAGGTTTGACTTTATATTATTTGTAATACAAAATCTATCAATAGATTTCAAAGAAACATGTTATCAAAGGGAGACTTGTTTTATGCACAGCATGAATTTCATTTAGTAATGAAAATGAACAACTATCAGTTATAGTAATAAAAGTCATAATCATTGTAATTATATTGGCAATAAAATAATTATTCATATCAATAGGATGCTATAGGTAAAATTATATTTAGACTAATATATTTTTAATTTTATAGGAAATGCAGTCTTTATATTTCAGAGAGGATTTTTGTATTCTTATAAAAAGTGAGATATAGAATAAAAAATTTTATTAAGATGAAGGAAATGACAAACACTAGGGCTACATCAAACCAAACAGCTTCAGCATAGCAAAAGAGATATTAACCAGAAAAAAGAGAAACCTATTGACTAGAAAAAAAATCTTTGCACTCCATAACAACAGATAAGGGGCTGACAACGAAAACAAAGCTAACAATTAGGTCAAGAAATGGACAGAAGAATTTAAAAGACACTTCTGTAAAGAGGAATTGTAAATGGCCAACAGGCATATAAAAAAATGTTCAACATCCCTTATAATCAGGGAATTGCAAATCAAAACCAAAATGAGATACCACCTCACACCAGTGAGAGTGGGCACATATCAAAAAAACTAATAACAACAAATGTTGGTGAGGATGCAGTGGAAAAGGAACTCTCCTACATTGCTATTGGGAGTGCAAACTGGTACAACTACTATGGAAAGCTGTATGGTGATTCCTCACACTACTAAAAATGGAGCTACCATAAAACCCAGACTTCCACTCCTAGGATTCTACCTAAAGGCCACAAAAACAATGCAAAAACATACATGAACACCTATGTTAATTGCAGCACTATTTACATTAGGAAAAACATGAAAACAACCTATAAAACAAAATTAAAACAAAACTATATGATTGGATCAAAAAGATGTATTATATATATACAATGGAATACTACTCAACAATCAAAAAAGATAAACTCATGGATTTGCAGCAATGTGGACGGAGCTAGAAGGGATTATACTCAGTGAAATAAGTCAGAAGGAAAAAGAAAAATTTCAAGTGGTTTCACTTATAGGAAGAATATAAGGAAACCAAAAAAGACATAGGAGAAAAATTATATTGTTATTACAATACAAAACACAGCAAAACAAAAAACAGATAATTATAAACCAGAGATCTCCTACAGGGGAGAGTTAGGGAGAAGGATCAGAAGGAGAGAGAGGGGAATGTGGGAGACTATGGTGATAATACGTGGGTGAATTGGGGAGGGAATAAACATTGTTTTAAAATGAAAAAATTCTGTACTATATCCATGTTATAAGTTTGTGTTGGCTGTTTATGAGAAAATTCCTATAGGTGAATCCTCACATTTCAAATACTTGTTGCTCCGTGGTCAACTGTAGACTTATTTTTACCACTCAATATTGTATTAGTTAACCATTTCTCATTAAAATTTTAAGGTATTATATTTAAAGTTGGATAATACTTAGACAATAATTATAAAATTTATAGTAGATAATTTGCTTTTTTTTCAATTTTTCACTAGATAAAATAATATGGTGATAAATATTTTCAGGCATTATTGATAATTTTCTAAGATCAATTACCAGGGAGAATTATGGTGCTAAAATATAAGATTTATTGGTAAATTTCTATCAAGAACTACAGACTCAAGTACCACCAAAGTATATGCAAGTATCTATCTCACCACATCATTATTTATACTCTTCAAAAAAAGCTTTGTCATAACTGAATAACATCCTCACTTAAAAAAATTATCTTACTTTCAAGCACAGTTTTATGTGATTTGAGAATTAGCATTGTTATGTATCTTTAGATAGGTTCACTTTCAATGAATTATTGTTCAAGTATCCTTTGCATATATTATATGAATCTGGAAATTCTAGAGTATCTTCTATCAGAGCAGAAATATTTCCTGATGATAATGAAAATAAAACTAGATTTTCTTCAACACAAAACAATCATCTTGGAATGACTGAGTAGTGTGTGATGTCATGTAAAAGTTCAGGGATCAAGATAACCTTACATAAATATTGACCTGTTAAATGATTTATTTAATAGTTCTTACCTTTTCATTCAATTACAGTGTAAATGCTTTCCATTCCAGCATCAATGTGATTATTAACATGACAATGAAATAACCAGGTTCCAACATCTCGTGGATACATTTTTATAGTTTGATAGGTCCCAGGGGGAAGGTCATAAACATCTGAGCGATATACTCCAGAATCCTTGAAAAGAGGGAAAACACCATTAAATGGCTCGTCATTTACACATCTTACCATTTGCTTTAACTCTCCGATTCTGATATGCTTTGCTGGAAAATTTAGGAGCCCTTGCCTTTATCTGAGTAGAAACGAAAGTTTCACAGAGAAGCAAGTCCCAGACTATTATGATGATAGGCCACAGAGAAATATTTCACGTAAAAAAAATTTTTTTTT